TAGAAGAAGCAGGAAAATCCAGTAGCCAACGCCACCACACCGAGCCCCTTCAACTAACTTTCAGAAGGTCTTACCTGCAGTAAATCAGTAACCTACGCCTGACATTCATTAAAAAATCTTGACAAATTGAAAGGGTCTGTACTATGTACAATCTGAATATTCTCTTCGAAATCTTATACCCTCTACGTTTCACCCCACTCTTTTTGAAACCGTCTACTGATCCCACCAGAACGACCTCCTCCTCCAGAGCAAAACAAGTTTTTTCCCGTGCCAAGGGGTCCTTGATGTTAGCTGACACTCCCAATCCTATGTCCCAATCCGCATGCCCCTAATCCTCTGCCTGTTCTTACAGAAGGGTAACTTTCTCCAGGTACCCTCACAAAAGTTTAGGTTCCTACCCAAACTCTGCAAGATCACAGCCACAGTTCTCCAAGTCACCAATTTATTGCTTCCCCAAACCCCCAGCACACGTTTTCATTTATATGTGGTCAATAATGGATAGAAGATAAAGTTCAGCGCTCATTCCTCTTTGGGATGTGCCACGCATTCACTTCCAGTCAGTATCCTAGGATATTCTGAATGCTATCTGACCCATGCAATGATTTGCTGGGCCAACTATGCACACAACTCATGGTCAGCATGATCGCCCTTTCAGGCGAGTCTTTTATCAATTCACCGACCTCGCAGATTTATAAAAGGTTTGGCTCTGATGTGAGCCCTGCATTGTGCGATAACCACCGACCTCTCCTCCCTCCCCCTTCACAATGATTTGTGCTCAAAACTGTTTGCAATTTGTTAATCATGTTGTTATCATGTTGCATGGCGATAAGCCGAGAAGGAAGAAGATATCGTCTAATCAAGTGAACCACCGAAGCGATAAGATATTGGTTATGATAAGATAGACATAGATACTTAAGCAATCCTGAGTAGGAATAAACACTTATTTCGTAATATTTTGAAGGTGTTAAACACCGAAATATAGCAGAAGATTTCAAAGGAGTTCTTTTGAAACTTTTCGTGTTTTTTGGAATTTTGGAGTTTTTCGAATAATTTGTGAACTTTTGGGACTCTTTTGGAATAAATTTTGGTGCCTCTTTGTGTTTTATAACATTTAGGTCCTGATGAGGCTCCGGGACAGCACAATACTGAGTATTGCAATTCGACACCTTGATGTTGCGACTGCCTAAGCTCAGAATATGCTCTTAATTTTAAAGGACGAATTTACGATGGAAAAGCAACCCATTCCAAATTGAGGTAGAGATGGTGAGTAGTACCAGAAAGAAAGCGAAACCACGAAAAACGGCCCAGAACCGGAGAAATGGGACCCCTTCCTTGTCCGTTGATTTGAGCATTGATGGGACTCTCATCGCTTTGCCCTCTTCAACCCTACGCTCTCTCAGCTATCTAATCACTCGCCACCTATTGTACTACGGCGAGTGATCGGTGGGCGGAGATCGCCGAACTCGCCAACTTTGAGCCATGCTAGATCTCAGAGGTCAAATCTTTCGATGCCGATTGCGTGTCTGTCCGCACCCTCAAGAGATTCACCGCTCTCCCCACTAGGCGATTTCTCCCTTCTTCGACCTTCGTTCTTTCCGTGCAATCCTCCTTTAACTAATTTCAAATGCAATAGGCTCAGCTCCGCAGATCATCATTTATTCAGCAACGGCATTTTGGTGGGCTTCATAACACTTTGCAGAAAGTAGTTTCACGAAATTTATTCTAAAATCACATAGTCTACCTTTCAAAAAAAGCGAGAAAGAGCGTCGGGTGCATATCCATACACCACAAGTGACGACGGCTTCCACAAAATGTTAATGTTTTCTGCCAATGAAATGATTAGCCTGTTGCAGTTGTATTCTATCGATTGTCACTAATTACAACTATCATTTACCAGAAATCAGCTATCACTATGAACCAACTTCTAACCAGATTTACTTGGAGGCCGTCGTCACTTGTGGTGTATAGTCTGCACCTGACGACTCTTCTTGTTTTTGAAAGTATAATTTTAAAATCGCAAAATTTTTCAGATTCCAGACTAAACTAGTTTCGACAAAAGCCCAGTGTTTTCTGCTGAACATACGAATAGATTTTGAATAAACTCTTCCCATTATTGAACTACTAAATGCATATTACATCATAACTGATATATAATGCTGTTATTGCAGAGTCATTTACCAAAAAAGGTGTCACCTATTTACAGAGAAGGCAGCTCCGACTGTCTACTGACTGAGCAGCATTTTCAAAATGCTGCTCGAAGAGAGGGCCGGACCATAAAAATTTCAAATGATCGTTCTCGCTGATCGCTTTGGCGAAAAAAGGATAAAATGACGAGATAACTTCTCAACTTTCGTCATGCCCTTTTTGAGTGCGCACTCGGACTTCCCGAGAGTTCTGGTGGACTACAAACTTTTCGACCTGGCTTCAGAGATGAAGCGACATGCTCAGCGTATTATGGGGGCCGTGTGATATCACTTAACAGATTTCGGAAAGAAAAGGGATGTTTTCTGAAACGATTCTTCCGGCAAAAATTTGGATGAAGGTTACTTACCATACACATGCTAGCAGGAATTGCAGTGAAACGACCGATAAAGTAGTGTATGATATTTGCGGAAAGCAGCAAATATACAACAGCGATTCCAAAAAGTGTCACGTTCCCATGACCGAAGTAAAGCGTCTGAAATAAACCCAGATACCGGTATGCTATGCTCAGTATTCATCAATATTGTTCAAAAGTGCACCTTTAAAAGAATGCCACCTCAAATGTAGGGGCTTGTTTTAAGATGCGCGTATGGACAAAATAGGCCGATGTCAGACTTTGCGAAATCGCGGCAATCCGCGTCGCGGCCAGGACCAGGGTCAACCGTCCGTTGGACAAAGTCCAACGCGACGACGAGAGTAATGCCGAGAGTGAACGTACGCACGGAGACACAGACGGCTCGCGGGTGGCGAGAGTGAATGCCGGCGCGGAGAGCGGTGAACATCGGTCCAACGTCGCTCCAATATCGGTCCAACGTAACGGTTGACCCTGCCTGAATCACTCAATTGGCTGGTACCGCAACGCGACCGCGGACGCTAGCGAATCGCGCGAATCGCTAGTAGCGAATCGCAAAGTCTGACATCGGCCATAAGCAGAAGCAAGCTTCTCATTGGTGAGCCATCCCTTTCAACATAGCAAAAGGTGATGCAACCAATAGGATGAGCTCACTGCCCCGATGACCCCAGCTGTCCATTAGGGAAGGCGCCGCTACTTTCGAAGTTGGAAAGCCATTTCCAAATGGTCTGGCCTACTTGAAATGTACTGCACTGTTTATGCCGTCGTTATCTTGTGGATGAGGATTAGAAACAGTCAAGCCCACAAAATTTGGAAGGTTCGGCCCAATCCAAAACTGATACTGTGAATCGCGCAAGCGCCAGACTACACATTTTCTCCCCGGCTTATTAACCTCTCCTTATTGGTTTACATGCATAACTTCACTGATCCGCTCTGCACCACTCGAAGATAGCGAAGAAGCTTTGAACCCCTTTCTTCATTCACACCCTTCTCTCATCGCTCTCTCATTCTTCACCTCTAATTCTAAGTTACGAATCTGTTCTTCTGTTTAGGTTTTGGAGCCTGACAATAAGCACCACATCAAGCCAATTCACATCACATAACGACGATATCCGGCATTTTGTTCAAATTTGCTTAGAGTACATTTGAAGAATGTAGGGCTTGAAAAATCATAGAAACTGGATGTGAAGGTGGAATAGTCCAATAACTCACTGCATTCCTGGTCCCATTGTGCGCTTGGCCATTTCTGGAAAAGGCTTCCGACAAACTCCCAGATGAGGATACCTGAATATTGTTGAAGTTAAAATGTTTTTCTCACTTCGTGAGTCACTTATGAGAGGTGTGACACTGGTAAAATAACTTATACTAGCTTTCGTGATTTGGCTTCGAGACAGTCTTCAAAATCCCCGCGAAATTTTTTAGAATGAGAATTTTCGGAAGAGCTGTGGAGAATGCGACAACACAAAAGATTTGATCAATGTATCAATGGGTTTGCTGGCCGAGTGCTTAACTTTGAAAGCAGCCTTTCACGAACCAAGTAGAATGGTAGCATTATAAAATACTCACCGTTGCATCATTTTGCACCATACTTTTCCTA